AAAACATAGAAAATCAACAAACAAATACTCTTCACAATGTATGTCACATATTGGTAGTAATTCCGCCACAACCAGTTTAACACAAACTGCAGCAAGTTTAAAGCTAACAATTACACAAGCAAAAGTGTGCAACATAAATCCTGCAGGGTACTTGCAGCATCAAATAAGCACCAAAATTTAAGAAGACAAATCCTCTTCTCTTGTTTCGTTCAGGAATTAATTAAAGTATTAGTAGGATACTTACAGCCACAAAGGGACTTACCAAGTAGCCCATAAACAAAAAATGAAGTGCCACAAAGGAACAAAAACATTGACAAGAAGAATGGCATAAAAACTCCACACTCTTAGTTTTATCTTAGTTTTAACCACATTCTCTGCAATAATTTTATCAATCAGTCAGCATCAAGAATCTACTGTAAAATTTACAAGTGGGGACTGTAATTAATAAGTACATAATCTTATCATGACAGCAAGAATGAACATAAAGTTAATCAAAGTTAGGCATAACAGTTATATCAGAAAACCCAAATGAAAGAAATACCCACCAAAAAATGAATAACAGTTCATTCGAAATAGCTTGAGAGGAGAATCTTTCTCGAGCAAAACAGGTTTTAGACTATGATCTTGATATCAATAAATGATCCTGCCCTGCCCTAAAATATGCCTATAAATCCTATTTTCTTTACGGTTACGTCTCAACCAAGAACGCACTGGGTAAACAATAAACTTACATTTGCTCTTTATCAATGGCAGAACACTTATATTATAAACAAAACAGTCAACCAAATGACTGGATTCATTTCATCAATCCAACCCATCTAACACATTCATCCAACCAAAAAAAAAAAAAAAAATTGAAAAAGGAAAGTGTTTAATTACCAATTGCAGATGAGGAAGATGAAGAACAAGTGCAGAACAGGAATCCAGAAGAACAAGAGCGCGAAGATGAAGAAGACGCAGTAACGCAGATGGAAGACGAAGAAGATGGTAATGGCTGGCTGTGTGTTTTAATTTTTGAAACTTCCCCAAAAATTTTAACCTAAAACGTGACTTTTTTTTATTTTTTATTTTTTATTTTGATTACAGTAAAGGACGGGCGTCCATAAGGGTGGGACGGTCGTCCTTTACATAAGGGACGACCGTCCAACCCTTACGAACGGCTGTCCATAAAGAATGGACTGGCATCCATTAATTATGGACGCCTGTCCACAATAAAGGGACGGTCGTCCACCATTTATGGACTGTCGTCCTTTGTTTTATTTTTTTTTTAAAAGCAAAAGAATGGACGGGCGTCCATTACTTACGGACGCCCGTCCACAATCAAAGGACGGCCGTCCACAATTTGTGGACGGCCATCCATAGTTTTTATTTTAATTTGAAACAACAAATGAATGGACGGGCGTCCATTACTTACAGACGCTCGTCCACAGTGAAAGGACGGCCGTCCAAAGAGTTTCTTTTTTGATTTGTAAAACCAAAATAATGGATGGGAGTCCATTTCTTACGGACGCCCTTCAAAAAGTAAGGGACGACCGTCCACAATTGGTGGACGGGTGTCCCCAAAGTTTTTATTTATTTATTTTCATATTTGGGTCAAGGGCGGGCATCCATTATTTGTGGGCGCCTGTCCAAAAGTAATGGACGGTCGTCCCTAATGTTTATAAATTTTTTTTATTGTATTCTACTTATGGATGGGCGTCCTTTAAATGGGGACGCCCGTCTATTGTATATGGACCCGCGCCCATATAATATGGACGGGAGTCCATGTGAGTGAACAGTCGTCCATATTTGATGGACGACCGTTCACTAGAAAAATATTCATAGAAAAATCAGAGACTGGACTGCTGGTGTGAGTCACGCGTACATGTAGGCCGGTACACATTTTTGGTCCAAACTATTCGGTGTCCGTAGCTTTGTTGATTAGCAACTACTAAGGGAGCGTTTGGTTGGGGGTTATATGGGATTACTGAGGTTAAATCATCTTATATTACTTGATTATCATGTTTGGTTTGTCAAGTAATATAAGATTCCGGTAATCTTTAAATACCAATAGTGGTTACTGTTGGTAATATTGGAGGTAATCTGTTTACCTCCATTTTCTTGGGTATTGTAAGATTACTTGGGTAATTTTTTTTTTTTTTGTTACAATTTTATCCCTTATTAATAAAATTTTAGAACAATAATGCCCTTATTTTTAAATTTATTTACATGAATCTTGCTTTTACCATTTCACCCCAATTAATTAACTTTTTGGACAAAATTACCCTTGAAATCAAAACAAATTTCAGCTTACCCAAGCCACCACCCCCACCCACCTGTTGCAGCACCAAACCACTGCCGGCTGGCGTGGAAAGTCGTCGGAAGTCATTTAGAGTCGCCATGAGCAACCCACTGTGACCGGGAGGCCCAATATGGCCGTTTCTAGCCATATTGATGGCCGAAAAGGCCATATCGAGAGCAGATCTGGCCATTAACGACCAGATCTCAGCCAGATTTGGCCGATAAAGGCCAATCGTCTGGTTGTCCATCAATCTGGCCTTTTCGGCCATCAATATGGACAGAAACAACCATATCGGGGCCTCCGATCATGGTGGGCGGCTCACAGTGACTTCCAGCGGTGGTTTGCGATGGCGGCAGGGTGGTGGGGGTGAGTTTGTTATAAATTAAAGTTTTATGTAAGCGGGGGTGTTTTAGCTAAATATAAAATATTGGGGGTTAAAAAATTATTTAAAAATTAATAATAAATATTATATTATATTAATATTTAAAAATAGGGCAATCTAGTAATTTAAATAACATACCTACCAATTTATTCCTCCTAACCAAACATATTAATATAACATACCTACTAATTTATTACAACTAACCCAACACATTTTCTTAAAGATTTTTAGTAATCTTCAAGGTAATATAAGATTCCAATAATCCAACATTCCCAGTAATCCAATATTCTCTGAACCAAACATACTATAAACAATCGTACAAGTGTGATAATGAAATAAACTCTCAAATTATATGATGTTTTTTATTTTTGAAACTAAAGCCTCAGTTAAACTAAAGAAAATAAAATTTAATACATATTCTTAACTCATAACAACCTAAGGTATTGATTTTAAATAGAGTAAACGACTTTTTCCTACACAAGGTTTGCCTTAATAATCTCACCCAAAAGTTTCAAAATACCACTTTCTCACCCAAAAAATTTCAAAATATATTTTTCTCACTTAAAGTTGATATTCTATAACTTCTATTATTATCTAAAGCCGATTCCAATTGATTTGGGTGGTGAAAATTCTCTCTGTCATCACCATTTGAGCCTTCGATCTTCTCTCTATAAAACCTCTCACTCTATTACCTGATTTCTCGCCGATTGCCCGCTATTGCAAAGCTAAAGTTTCTTGTTCTTAATTGATTTGTGATTGATTCCAACAGCGAATATTCAATCAGTCACCACAATTTGATCCATTGGCTTCCACTCTGCAAAACCCTTGTTACCTTGACTCCTATTAACTCGTCGAACGCCAGCCAAGAAAGTGAATTGTATTTTGGGTATTAATGAAATATAAATTTTAGATGAAAAAGTGGTATTTTGAAACTTTTTGGGTAAAACAGTGTCATTTAGGCAAACCTTGGGTGGGACAAACTCATTTACTCCTTAAATCAAGACAATAGAAACTGGAATTCGAGAAGGTTAGTTGGCGAAATAAACCTTTGAAACAGCGAGTTTATTGAAAAATCAAATGATTTGCACTGTCTGTCTGTCTCTGTCTAGCTTTCTCTATATTTTCCATTATAGATATATAAAATTATAAGCTTAAAGAAATAATCTTTCTGGTTTCGTAAAATCTTTTATAAAATTAATTATTTTTATAATTAATTTAAAATTTACTCATTTTAAAAAATATTTTACCAAATACAACTTTTGTTTCCCACTTTAAGAATAAAGTGATTATTTTGTAACTTTCAATAATTTCAAACAGATAAATTTTTCTTTCTAGTAAAGCAATAGAATAATATTATACTCAGAACTTTTTTCATATAAACTTTCTTTTACAAACTTATGTGGCAAAAAATAATTGGGTGATTTTAAATTTAAAATAAACATTCATCCAATCATTTTTTGTCACATAAGTTTATGAGAGAATCTAATTTCACAACTTTTTCTCACAATCCTCAACGTGACAGTTCGCAATTGGATAGCGTCTGCTTGCTATGAGTCTCACTGTTTAATTGGGAACTGTTATGTTGAGAATTATGAGAAAATATTATGAGATTGAGTTGTGGACTTAGCATTACTAAAAAAAGAATATTTTCTCAACCCCAAAATTCCGATTTGTTTCCGTCCACTGGATATATTTTTACTGTTGTGTTCTTTATTAAAAAAAATCTTTCATCAAATATGTTGCAGTACAATCCGTTAACGAAGAATCATAATATAAGCACAAGTGAAATATACTTTGGTCTCTTCTTAACTTTATATTATATGAAAGAATTTTTGCTTAGTTTGATTCCAATTACTCTCAGCAATACCAAGATCTCAATTTTTTTTTTATTAAAATTAGAATTATAAAATTCTGCCCATTACTATTCAGGATAATTTAAAGTAAAATCACTTTTTTCCTTTTTCTTTTATTTTTTCAAAGTTCATAATTCTTTTTCTTTATTTCATTTTTAATGTGAAGGTGTCGGATAACTAATGAAATAGAAGCCAAACCCAAAAAGAGATTCAAAGAAGAAGTTGGGCAAAAGGTGAGAGGTGAGTGAGCCAAGTGTTAATCGTCAATAGAAAAGTGGTGAGGTGTCACCTCTGCGTAAAATAGGCGCTACTAGTTTTCTCCGCTCGCAGGATCGCATCCCATGAATTGAAGCGTCATATTCGGCTGTATATTCTGTTTCGTTTGACACTAAACACTGACCTGACTATTTCTTCATTTTAAAATTTTTTGCAAATCGTAATTCACCACACCACCCGTTGGTCATCATTATATATCTGTCTATATATATTAATACGCATACTACTCTCCGTGCTCTCACTTTCATTTCAAAAACTTCCAGATTCCTCTTCTTTTGTCTCTTTACCTTTCTCTTCAATGGCCACTGACACCGATAAGCTCACACAACTCAAATCTTCCGTTGCTGGCCTCAGCCAAATCAGGTACTCTTTTATTCTTCTTAATGATTTTGATCATCAGATCTGTGTTTCATTCTTTGTTTGATTAATTCTATATTTTTTCTGTTTCCTTCTGCAGTGAGAATGAGAAGAATGGATTCATCAATCTCGTTGCCCGCTATCTCAGGTAAATTTAGCTCTGATTTCGTTTGTTTTTGTGAGTAGATGTTCGAGATTTTGATTTTTGAATTGGATTGAGTGATGGTGATTGTTTGTGTGTTGATTGATTGATTGAAGTGGCGAGGCTCAACACGTGGAGTGGAGCAAGATCCAAACGCCCACTGATGAGGTGGTGGTTCCTTATGACACCTTGGCACCTGCTCCTGAAGGTATTGAAGTTTGGATTTGCATTTGGTTGGACAGTTGTTTTAGTTCTAAATTTTACGTGAACTGATGCAGTTCCAGCGGAAACCAAAAAGCTCTTAGATAAGCTTGTTGTGTTGAAGCTCAATGGAGGTTTGGGGACAACAATGGGCTGCACTGGTCCAAAGTACGCATTCTTTCACTAGATTGTGGTTTTCTATTTATTTTATTTTATTTTATTTTAACAATTTATCGTTCTTGTTGCGACTGAGACTGTAATCACTCTTTTTGTTTGACTTCTCGAAGTAAGATGTGGATTCTTTTGCATTAACATTGAAGTGAATGGGAACGGATCAGATGTTGGATTTGTGTAATATAGAAGGGATGTTTATCAAATTAGATTAAAATATGATCTGACATTAGACTTAGAGATCATGTGCAGTGCACGTCTGATGTCCCTAGAATCATTTTATCACTTTCATCTTAGTTACTCTATGTGTAAATATTGAATCCTGTATTTATAGTATTTAAAATGGTACATAACAGTATGTGGATGCCATGAATCCCTCTCTTGCTAAAGATTGTAGGATTCGGCAGGTAACCTGATATGCACCTTGAATTTGCGGGTTCAGGGATTTCTGGTTGCCAAAAATTAAAAAATAAATAAAAGAAACTTACAATTGGGTAGTATTTATATAACATAGAAAAATTTTATGATCTTGTAGAGTGAATGATTTATGTTGATATTAATTTAAGACTCTTATCATCAACACTCATGTTAATCTACAAATATATTATATAATCTGATAAGGAGATCCCACATACCCCTGAGTCACTTCTAGGACCTATTCATAGATTGGATTACCCCTTGTAGAAGTGGACCCAACTTCACGATTACATATGATAGGTGGTTTTTTGTCGATGCTTGTCTGTAATGTCGTGGCTATCACAGCTTTAAACTTGGTAATTTAGTTTTGTGTTCCCATGTCATTCGATTTGGATGTACCAGACAATGCAATTGAATCTGTAATATGGTGTGATTCTGTTTTTGTGTTCACTGTGATGTACGAAATGTTCTTTTTAGTGTTAGAGGTAAAAATGCGTTTCAGGTTTTACTTTGTCCTGTAGTTCATGTACTTGTATAAATTTTCTTTAAAGATGGCGTAGAGACATAAGCATAACATCTCAAATCAAAGTTTAAATTCTCTATAATTGGTTTTCTCCATGTCAGTTCGCTTATAATTAGTTTGATGGGGATAGAAGACTGGTATTATTTATTTTGCTCACATTTTACCATTTGTGTGCTACATTCTCAATTCATACCTGGCAAAATTGTGGCTACTGTTTAAGGTCTCGTAATTTTTTCTTTTTTATTCTCACCAATAGAAATGCAAATATTATAATCTCTGATGAGTTTGTTGATTCATTCCCATAGTCTGTCCATTATCTATTGTCTTTCTAAGACTTCTTTTCAGTTGTCAGTTTTTGATAAAAAATTGTTTTGCACAGGTCTGTTATTGAAGTTCGTAATGGTTTGACTTTTCTTGACTTGATTGTTATCCAGATTGAGGTTATACTTTGTTCCTTACTGTTCTAAGTCTTTCTCTTTTTCTCTCTCTCTTTTTATCATGATGGCATGTAACCTAATTTTTCAAATATTATAGCATCTCAACTCCAAGTATGGGTGCAATGTTCCGTTGCTTCTTATGAACTCATTCAACACTCATGATGACACAGCAAAGGTATTGGAACTTTCTCCCCTTCACTTCACTTCCCTCCCTACCCCCTTTAACTAGATCCTGTAGACTTACAAGTTCTTTACCATTTTCAGATTGTAGAAAAATACTCCAAATCAAACGTCCAGATTCATACTTTTAATCAGGTTTGTGATGCTATTANAGTTCTGTTTTCACTAACTTTTTTGAACTTGCAGTTAGGTGCAACTATAACACAGTTCCTTTGCATTTAGGGACGATGCCCTAGTTATTCTTAGAAAGCTGAAAAATAATAGTGAGGATAACCAGTTCCAAGCCTTGGTCAGCGCCGATGGCTTTTTGAGCCACATGGGGAATCCGGCCCGCGCACCATTATTAAACTGTGGAACATTTTCAACTCGAACATCGGCGCGTTCATCAATACTTTTCCTCACCTAAACAGCAGTAGGTCCATTCACATTACAACCTGTTTTTTGGTAGTTACAAGCAGCAAAGAACACTAGCCAACAAAATGATCAGAACGAGACCCTCACCGATCATGATATCAAACCCTGTTGATTTCGACAAATTTGATTACTTCTGATCTACCCAATGAAGCTAACGGTGTCGTCGGCGACTGCCATCCAGCCAAGGTTTTGAGACCTGGCCCGGTCAATGACCCTGTCAAGTGCCCACGTTCAGGGCTGAGTGGTTGAACCTGCTTGACCCGCGGGTCGGACAGATGACATCATCACATTAACGGTCTGTAAAATTTATACTAAATTTGGGCCATAAAACTACATTAACGACCTGATAAAACCCACCTACAAAATAACCTAAACCTTGAAGATGTAATAGGCATTCCAACTCAACATTGCAAAACCCTAGTTTGCTTATATTCAACCCCAACCCGTTCACCTCATTTAGCTGTGCCTCCCTTCCCAAACCCTAACACACATTTTCTCTCCCATTTTTTATTTCTGCTTGTACCAAGCGAAGGTAATCCAAAGATGGAGGTTAAGATGAAATTACCTCTAACAATATCCAAAGATGGAGGTTAAGATGAAATTACCTCTAACAATATCCAAAGATGGAGGCTAAGATGAAATTACCTCAACCGCCACATTGGTCATCAAAGCGTCGAGGGAGCCTGAGAGAGACAGGAAAAAGACCAAGAATATCAAACACAATGGCAACATTACTCTCGATGATGTGATCGAAGTTGCTAAGGTTATAAGGCCAAGGTCTATGGCGAAGGATCTGAGTGGAACGAATTGAAATGAAGAAAGAATCGAATACAAATGCAAAAAAGGGTTTTTTTTTTTTTTTTTTTTAATGTTTGGGGGGGTGTACGTTTAGATTGGAAAATAATTTAGTGACCTGATTTGGATCATAGACCGGTCGGACTGGCGGGTTGGTATTGTTCTGCCGATCCGACCGCAATCCAAAGTGGTTCTTAGTATATTAATGGGTTTGGGCATTGAACTAGACCGAAGCTGTGGTTGGTTCCTGACCAGTCCAAGTTTCAAAAAAGTGCGTCCAACTACCCCAAAGCAACCAGTTTCAGTTTTCCACAAATTAATATTAGATTTATTAGATTTTTATTTTATTTTAATTATATTATTATATTATAAAAATAATGAGGGTATTTATATAATTAACATTTCATCATCAGTTTTTTATTTTCATTATAGATTATTTCATAATCAGATTGTTGTATAATCACTTTTCATATTAATTATAAATTAAAAAATAAGTGACTATAGAAGAAGTAAAAAAACCCAAACTAAATCTAAGTCTTAGCAACAATCCCAAATACATAATTTAAAGAGTGAATTGGTATATTCAATGAGAGGTATGGAAGGGTTTTTGGTTAGGATTTTTTTTTTTCTATTAGAAGTATGGACGAAGGGTCAAAGTACGGACGTTCCATCCCAAAATGTAATGGACGCCAGTCCAATGTAAGGGACAGGCATCCATTCTAATGAAAGCCGTCACAATACGGTGAGGAACGTTCGTCAGCAAACGGGAGGGACGGCCATCCAAAATTTAGGTATGGCCGTCCAAAATTTTTTTTTTTTTTGTTTTCATATTTGGGTCAAGGAGGGAGTTCCATTATTGTGGGCGCCCGTCAAAAGTACATATGGACGAATGTCACAATGTTTTACAAATTTTTTATTGTATTTTTATTATGGAGGGCAATTGTCTTAAATGGGACGGCTGTCCCTGGTTATGGACGGGAAGATCCATGTAAGTGAACGATGTCCATATGCTGGACAGCCGTGCATAGAAAAAATTGATTAGAAAAAATCAGGCGCCTGGTACACGGTAGGCCGAGCAACAGTGTTATGGTGCAAATTCAGTGTCCGGTAGCTTTGGGATAATAAAAATTAGGGAAAAAACAGCGGTTTGAAATTTAGGATGAGGACTACGTACAAAGATGAGGAGGGGATTTTTTTTATTGTACATAAATTTTTTTTAATTTTTTAAAGGCTAAACTTTATCTCAAAACTTTTGGGATGGGCCACCCCCGTACCTTACGTTTTGGAGGGGCCAAATCCATACTTTTAATAAAATAAAAAAAAATTCTAAACAAAAACCAATATTCGTGTTTCATTCACAATCTCCTCTACTTTTTAGTGTATTCACCCCCAGCCCCCCCCCCCTTTTTTTTTTTTGTCCCCCCCCCTTCCTAATCTCCTTGCAAGATGATAATGATTATAAGAATGTATCTTACAGCTCTGGAGCGTTTCACGAATCATTTGTACCTGGGTGAGGAAAACGTGATTCAGGAATTCCCCTTACAAGAAGGGCACATTTTTTCCCTTTTTTGAGGAAATTTTTTTACTTTGGAATAAAATATATGGAAAATGGAGGGGCATGGGCGATGACGACTTTCTTTACGCCTTGACGAATATGCAGAGAAAAGAAATGAAACGAACTAAACTCGGCGATCACAAGCCTTTTTAGGAAGAATGTCTTCGACAGTTAGAAAGGTCTTATTGTTCTTTTTCAAACAGTTCGTTCCCAATTGGACCAGTGGCAGCTTCAGTTACAATGTTCTCATGAATGAGCCTGCAAAAAGCAAAGCGAGGGAGATTAACCTTTTGCATATTACGATAATATTGAACTTAAATCATCAGACAGGAAATGATATCAAACATGTAGACACATAAAAAGATAAGAACTACCCAATATAGACGCGGACAACTTTCAGGAGTATTAAGTACTTTTTCCTAGGACCACACAAAGCTTCATAACCCTCATCAGCGAAAAAGAAGGACAGGTAAAGCAGGTTATATTGATATGATAAAAGACATGCATCTCCAAATTACATGCTCAGAACAGAACCCAGAAAAATAAAATAATTGGGATAAAAAAAATTTACTTGTTGAGTAGCACTTGGTCTGCCTTGTTCAACCACACGGTCCAATGTGAGAGCCTGTTAAGTATGAAGCAAGAACTAAATAAAAACCAACAAAGAAAAAACTTTATGCTCAAAGGAAGTGAGGAGAACCGGGGGGAAAAGAAAACAGGGAGATAGGGAATGAGACAAAGAAAAGAGAGGAGGATGGGGAATGAAGACCAAGAAGAATTGGTTTTGTTAGAATTTTTTTTTGCTATTAAAAGTATGGCGGGGGTCCATTCCGTAATGGACACTTGTTCCAAACGTAAGGGTAGACCGTCCCAAAAGTTTTTTTTTGGTCAAAGACGGTGTCCATATTTGTGGGTGCCACAGTCCAAAGTAATGGATGGAGTCCATCCATCCCTAATGTTTTACAAATTTTTTTATTGTTTTTATTTATGGAGGGCTCTTTTAAAATCGGGGACGCCCGTCCTCGTATATGGACCCCGTCCCTATAAATGGACGAGGGTCCATGTGAGTTAATGGTTGTCTATATTTGATGGATCGGCGTTCATTAACAGACCGAAATGTTAGAAAAATTATGCGCCTGGTATACACATAGCCTGATACACATTGTCGGTGCAAAGTTTTTCGGAGGTGTCCGTAGCTTTGTTGTTTTTATTAGAAACGAGTTTTTTTAATTTTTTAACTTAGGGAGTTCTCATTTATTTTATGATCTTTTAGCTGAAACTAGGATTAGCCTATTTATAAATAGGATTGTTATGTTTAAGTTAATGGCATAGTTATTATCAATAAAAGTATAAAATTTTCCTTTGTTAAGCCTCTTTGTGGAGTCAGAAACTATAGCGATAGCAATCTAGGGCATTCTATTGAATCATCATCAAAAAAAGCAAACATCCCAAGAGGATGCCAAGGAATACAATCTTCGTTAACGAGTAAATTAAATGAAAAATGCGATCCTTCAAAGACCATACAAAAGAGGGTGACAAAAGGACATCGCAAGAAGAAAAAAAACAAAGAAAAATTGAAAAAGAGAGAGAGAAGAAAAAAAAATCAATGAAAATCAATGATGAAAATGTCTCTGGTGGACCCCTTTGGTTGTGTTCTGTGTAAAACTAGTATCGCTTCTAAATTAATCTAGACCGGTGAAATGGCAAAGTCTTCATTTTATGCAACTTCGTGAAAGCCTTCGAGTTAGTGCTCGGGCAGGGCATTAGGCCTATAGTCCTGTTTTCTATATGCAAGTTATTCAGATATTGTTTTTACTTCGTTATGTTTTGAAAAGGCATAAAGGATACAAACCTTTCAAATGTTTGTGTGGTGATGTGGCTTGTGTTTGTGCCACGGTGGAGAATATTAAAAATTGGGAGAGTCAAGGGGGTCAAACCGATGTCGTTTTATGATGAGCTAAAATGACTTTGTCTAGCATTCGATCCAGCCCTCTTCTTTTGCACAGATTTCTCCTCTCTAACTGTCTCATTCCAGAATGTTCTTATGGGAGACGAAATTTGTTGCTCATCTACGGCTAAATCTTCTTGGGGTACCAAGTGAAGGTTGATCCTGGGAGGTGACTGATGTATAAATTGATTCCATTTGATATGGATATGTAGCAAGGGGAAAAGGGAAGAAAGCTAGGGTTTCTTTGGGTTGTATTCTTCTTTGCTCATTTCGTTTTTTTCTTTGTTCAATACTCTGTAAATTGTTCTATTGACTGTAATAGTAATGACATCCTATTTGCGCCTTGAAGAGTGGATGTAGGCTACCCAGCCGAACCACTATAATTCCTTGTGTTGATCTTTATCTCTTTACTTGATCTGTTGTTTGTTAATGCTTGATGATTCAGAGATCTTAATATGTGATTACTTTGTTGTTTGGAGATTGATTGTGATTACAGAGATCTTAATCTGTGATTACTTTGTCGTTTGGAGATTGGTTGCTATTCAGAGATCTTAATCTGTGATTACTTTGTTGTTGTTTGGAGATTGTTTGTTAACCAGAGATCTTAATCTGTGATTATCTTGTTATACAGTTGATTAGTTAGGCATAGAGCTGTAATTTGTGATAACTCAGGACAAAAACTTAACAGTTTGATGGGCCTTTCCTACAATCTGCTTCACATCAGCTTCCAAAACTAGTGACAAGCCTGCATTATCCACCCATAGTTATTTTTTCCATTATCCCAATACACAATCTCTGAATTCAGTTAAGCATTGGAGTCTGGACCAGTAAATCATGGCATGATTGCTAATTGTATGGTCGAAATGGTTCAATCAAGGCATGATCAAATGATTGAGTGGTGCAGATAGGGCGGTAACGTTACCCCACTAGAACTATGATTGAATGGTACTAATGACAGGAAACGTTACCCTATACACTGACCCCACAATCTCCCCACGAATTTTGTACTATACAGGGTATTAACATTCAACAAAGCTACGGACACCGAAAAGTTTGCACTGAAAATGTGTATCGGCCTACGTGTACCAGGCGACTGATTTTTCTATCATTTTTTTTTCTAGTGAACGGTTGTCCATCAAATATGGACTACCGTTCACTCACATGGACTCCCGTCCATATTATATGGATGGGGGTTCATATACCAGGGACAAGCGTCCCCATTTAAAGGACGCCCATCCATAAATAAAATACAATAAAAAAATTTACAAAACATTAGGGACAGCCGTCCATTACTTTTGGACGGGCGCCCACAAATAATGGACGCCCGTCCTTGACCCAAAAAAAAAACTTTTGGGACGGTCGTCCCTTACGTTTGGACAGGTGTCCATTAGGAATGGACACCCGTCCATACTTTTAATAGAAAAAAAAAATTCTAAACAAAAACCCATTCTTCTTGGTCTTCATTCCCCATCTCCTCTCTTTTTCTTGGTCTTCATTCCCTATCTCCCTGTTTTGCTTTTCACTCCTGTTCTCTCTCACTTCCTTTTGAGCATAAAGTTTTTTCTTGTTGGTTTTATTTAGTTCATTTCTTCATACTTACAGGAGCTCACATTGGACCGTGTGGTTTTGAACAAGGCAGACCAAGTTGATACTCAACAAGTAAATTTTTTTTATCCCAATTATTTATTTTTCTGGTTCTGAGCATGTAAATTTGGAGATGCATGTCTTTTATCATATCAATAGAACCTGCTTACCTGGTCTTCTTTTTCAGCTGATGAGGGTTTATGAAGCTTTGATGTGGTCACTAGGAAAAGTACTTAATACTCCTGAAGTTGTCCGCGTCTATATTGGGTAGATTCTTTATCTTTTTATGTGTATAAATGTTGATACATTTCTGTCTGATGATTTAAGTTCAATATTATCTTAATATGCAAAGTTAATCTCCCGCTTGCTTTTTGCAGCTCATTCAATGAGAACATTGTAACTGAAGCTGCAACTGGTCCAATTGGGAAAGAACTTTTTGAAAAAGAACAAGAAGACCTTCTAACTGATCTGAAAGACATTCCGAAAAAGGCTTGTGATCGCCGAGTGAGTTAGTTTCATTCTTTTCTGCATATTAGTAAAGGCGTAAAGAAAGTAGTCATCGCCCATCCACTCCATTTTCCATATAATCTTTATTTCAAAATATTTCCTCAAAGATGCTTCTTGAAGGGGATTCTGACTGCAAGTTTTCCTCACAGGTCAATGAATTCGTGAAACGAGCCAGAGCTGTCAAGATACATGCTTATATCATTAATCATCTTCGAAAGGAGATGAGGAATGAAGACGAAGAAAAAGAGAGGAGATGGGGAATGAAGACGAAGAAGAATGGGTTTTTGTTTAGAATTTTTTTTTTATTTTATTAAAAGTATGGATGCCCGTCCAAACGTAAGGGACGGCCATCCCAAAAGTTTGAGATAAAGTTTAGCTTTAAAAAAAATTAAAAAAAATTTATGTACAATTAAAAAAATACCCCTCATCATCTTATGTAGGATAGTCTCATCCTAATTTTCAACCGCTGTTTTCCTAATTTTTATTAGCAACAAAGCTACGGACACTGAAAAATTTGCACCAAAAATGTGTATCGGCCTACGTGTACCAGGCGCCTGATTTTTCTATCAATTTTTTTCTAGTGAACGGCTGTCCATCAAATATGGACAGTCGTTCACTTACATGGACTCCCGTCCATATACCAGGGACAGACGTCTCCATTTAAAGAATGCCCGTCCATAAATAAAATACAATAAAAAAATTTGTAAAACATTGGGGACGACCGTCCATTACTTTTGGACGGGCGCCCACAAATAATGGACGCCCTCCTTGACCCAAATATGAAAAAAAAAAAAAAAAAAACTTTTGGGACGGCCATCCATAAATTTTGGATGGCCGTCCCTCCCGTTTGGACGGACGTTCCTCACGTTTGGNTCTTCTTGTTCTTTTTCAAAAAGTTCTTTCCCAATTGGACCAGTTGCAGCTTCAGTTACAATGTTCTCATTGAATGAGCTGCAAAAAGCAAGCGGGAGATTAACTTTGCATATTAAGATAATATTGAACTTAAATCATCAGACAGAAATGTATCAACATTTATACACATAAAAAGATAAAGAATCTACCCAATATAGACGCGGACAACTTCAGGAGTATTAAGTACTTTTCCTAGTGACCACATCAAAGCTTCATAAACCCTCATCAGCTGAAAAAGAAGACCAGGTAAGCAGGTTCTATTGATATGATAAAAGACATGCATCTCCAAATTTACATGCTCAGAACCAGAAAAATAAATAATTGGGATAAAAAAAATTTACTTGTTGAGTATCAACTTGGTCTGCCTTGTTCAAAACCACACGGTCCAATGTGAGCTCCTGTAAGTATGAAGAAATGAACTAAATAAAACCAACAAGAAAAAACTTTATGCTCAAAAGGAAGTGAGAGAGAACAGGAGTGAAAAGCAAAACAGGGAGATAGGGAATGAAGACCAAGAAAAAGAGAGGAGATGGGGAATGAAGACCAAGAAGAATGGGTTTTTGTTTAGAATTTTTTTTTCTATTAAAAGTATGGACGGGTGTCCATTCCTAATGGACACTTGTCCAAACGTAAGGGACGACCGTCCCAAAAGTTTTTTTTTGGGTCAAAGACGGGTGTCCATTATTTGTGGGTGCCCGTCCAAAAGTAATGGATGGCCGTCCATCCATCCCTAATGTTTTACAAATTTTTTTATTGTATTTTATTTATGGACGGACTTCTTTTAAATGGGGACGCCCGTCCCCGGTATATGGACCCCCGTCCATATAATATGGACGAGAGTCCATGTGAGTTAATGGTTGTCTATATTTGATGGACGGCCGTTCATTAGAAAGAAATTGTTAGAAAAATTAGGCGCCTGGTACACATAGGCCGATACACATTTTCGGTGCAAATTTTTCGGTGTCCGTAGCTTTGTTGTTTTTATTAGAAACCTAGTTTATTTTTCAATTAGGATTTCTCATTTTATTTTAATTATCTTTTTAGTGAAATTAGGATTAGCCTATTATAAATAGGATTGTTATGTTTAAGTTATTCATAGTTATTATCAATAAAATGTATAAAATTTTCCTTTGTTGAAGCCTCTTTGTGGAGTCAGAAATCATCGGATAGCATATCTAGTGCATTCTATTGAATCATCATCAAAACAAGCAAACATCCCAAGAGGCTGCCAAGGAAATAAACTTGTTAACGATTAAATTAATGAAAAATGCTATCCTTACAAAGACCCATACAAAGAGGGTTACAAAATGACATCAGCAAGAAGAAAAAAACAAAGAAAAAATTGAAAAAGAGAGAGAGAGAAAAAAAAAATCATGAAAATCAATGATGAAAATTGTCTTTGTGTACCCCTTTTGTATGTGTCTTTGTAAAACTAGTATCGCTCTAAATTAATCTAGACCGTTTGAATGGCAAAGTCTTCATTTCTATGCAACTTCGTGAAGCCTTCGAGATAGTGCTCGGCAGGTCTCATTAGCTATATTCCTGTTTTCACTACTATTCTTATTTACTTCGTTATGTTTTGGTTCTGTTTTCACTAACTTTTTTGAACTTGCAGACTTGCAGTTAGGTGCAACTATAACACAGTTCCTTTGCATTTAGGGACGATGCCCTAGTTATTCTTAGAAAGCTGAAAAATAATAGTGAGGATAACCAGTTCCAAGCCTTGGTCAGCGCCGATGGCTTTTTGAGCCACATGGGGAATCCGGCCCGCGCACCATTATTAAACTGTGGAACATTTTCAACTCGAACATCGGCGCGTTCATCAATACTTTTCCTCACCTAAACAGCAGTAGGTCCATTCACATTACAACCTGTTTTTTGGTAGTTACAAGCAGCAAAGAACACTAGCCAACAAAATGATCAGAATGAGACCCTCACCGATGATGATACAAACCCTGTTGATTTCGACAAATTTGATTACTTCTGATCTACCCAATGAAGCTAACGGTGTCGTCGGCGACTGCCATCCAGCCAAGGTTTTGAGACCTGGCCCGGTCAATGACCCTGTCAAGTGCCCACGTTCAGGGCTGAGTGGTTGAACCTGCTTGACCCGCGGGTTGGACAGATGACATCATCACATTAACGGTCTGTAAAATTTATACTAAATTTGGGCCATAAAACTACATTAACGACCTGATAAAACCCACCTACAAAATAACCTAAACCTTGAAGATGTAATAGGCATTCCAACTCAACATTGCAAAACCCTAGTTTGCTTATATTCAACCCCAACCCGTTCACTTCATTTAGCTGTGCCTCCCTTCCCAAACCCTAACACACATTTTCTCTCCCATTTTTTATTTCTGCTTGTACCAAGCGAAGGTAATCCAAAGATGGAGGTTAAGATGAAATTACCTCTAACAATATCCAAAGATGGAGGTTAAGATGAAATTACCTCAACCGCCACATTGGTCATCAAAGCGTTGAGGGAGCCTGAGAGAGACAGGAAAAAGACCAAGAATATCAAACACAATGGCAACATTACTCTCGATGATGTGATCGAAGTTGCTAAGGTTATAAGGCCAAGGTCTATGGCGAAGGATCTGAGTGGAACGAATTGAAATGAAGAAAGAATCGAATACAAATGCAAAAAAGGGTTCTTTTTTTTTTGGAAGGGGTTAGTGACCTGATTTGGATCATAGACCGGTCGGACTGGCGGGTTGGTATTGTTCTGCCGATCCGACCGCAATCCAAAGTGGTTCTTAGTATATTAATGGGTTTGGCATTGAACTAGACCGAAGTTGTGGTTGGTTCCTGACCAGTCCAAGTTTCAAAAAAGTGCGTCCAACTACCCCAAAGCAACCAGTTTCAGTTTTCCAGAAATTAATATTATATTTATTATATAATTAACATTTCATCATCAGTTTTTTATTTTCATTATAGATTATTTCATAATCAAATTGTTGTATAATCACTTTTCATATTAATTATAAATTAAAAAATAAGTGACGATAGAAGAAGTAAAAAAACCCAAACTAAATCTAAGTCTTAGCAACAATCCCAAATGCATAATTTAAAGAGTGAACTGGTATATTCAATGAGAGGTATGCTGGTTGATTAATAATTGTCGAGTCCACGTTAAATTTGAATTTAATGAATTCATGAGTTGTTGGCTAGCTAGCTGGCTGGCTGAGATATCTCTATTAGTCTGTTATCAATGACCAATGCATACATATATTTCTAACTTCTTTATAAATGAAAATTAACATCTTCTTCATCATTTATTCATTTATTTCATATTCTCTAAATCACCATTAATTCACTATTTTGGAATGTTACATTACTGATTCATGTATGCATCACTAAATCTTTGCAGTTTAGCAAAGCAATTTTCATCACTAGCCCACAAACCAATTAGACCTCTATTCCTTGTACATGCTAAATGCCGGCTCACGTGTAAGTTTAGACTTGGTATTCTTTATAATCATATGGTAATTTAGTAATCAACATAATACAAAGTTATGTCCTATTTTGTATAATCATATTTATAGAAGTAATGTTATATTTACAAAGAAATTTTATAAAAAATTTCATATAAAATGATGTGACCAAAAAAATATATATATATATATATAATAAGTTTAACTTTTTATTTCACTCTTGTACTCATTTTTTATTATGAATGAAAATCTTTATAAGTATAGTATTATTATATTTATAGTACTACTTACTATAATACAAATTTTGATACCCGATAACTTCAGGATCTTAAGTAAAGATATTTATGTTGAAATGGGACTAGGATGCCGAAGTTCACCACAAAATTACCATATAAGCATATTTAACAACTAGAGTAAGAAAATATTTTGACCATCTCTTATTGTATTTGCTTTGTTCCTGCAAATCCCAGATTCAAAGCAGGCGATCTATTCAGGAATGATCATATTGTGTTTGCCGGTGATTTGACTGGGAGAAACCAATGGGAGCCCTTCATATGCATGTTTGCAAAAGCAGTTTCCCACAAGTCCACAATATATAAAGAAAATGGAAAACCCATAACTAAACAAGGGCTTTCTCTCTGCGTTTTCATGGATATAACATGACAGTTGAATACCTTTCCTAGTCGTCATCAGTCGCCCACCTTAGACTTATCGCAGGAAGTTTGAAGGACCGTTAGTGCCAATGAGCTACACTGGTTTTTCAAAAAAAAAAAAAAAAAAAAAAAGTGGATTGGAGCAGATGCCTTGATTTTCAACGACGGCCATTGGTGGAATGAAGATAAAACTTAAAAGATGTATGAACTATTACTTTCCTTTCCTCACATAAATTTTCTTCTATTATTCTAAAAAACTTAGCTAGAACTTTGTTAAGAGAAAGTGATGGCATGTTGTGTCTTCAGGGGAATCTATTTTCAGGAAGGGGAAAGTAAATACAACAATGAATGGTGACGGAAGCATTTCCAAGGTCTCTGCAAACTTGAGTCACGGGTAATAAGGAACCTAGATCCAAAGAGAAGTCACACTTTCTTTCAAAGCTACTCTCCGGTACATTACACGCAAGCATTAAAATTCTGTACGTTTTGGTTAGCATACTGAACATAAAAATAAATTGCTTAAGCATACGTCAACGTAAAACTAAGTTTTTACCCCTTTATGCACATTTTATCAAAGAGAGTAGAAAGAAAGTTATATTTTAGAGTAAGCAGTAACCTTTGTCTGCAAGAATAGCCAGAATTAGCTTTACACCATAACTTACGGGTCCTAGGTCAAGAACTTTAGATATGAATTTTGCATGAATGGCACATGGAATAAAGGAGGTTTCTGTGATAGAGAGAAAGAACCGGAAACAATCTACACAAGGCTTAAAGCTGAGCCCCTCAATAATCATTTCATTTCAGATATAATCAAGTAGATGAGAAATGAAAACAGGAAGGTTCAGTTCTTAAACAGTATATATCTGACAGAGTTCAGGAGCAACGGTCACCCCTTGTTCCATTGTGAGCCAGGCATTCCTGCAATGCTCCCCATGATTGTAGCCATTGGTGTCTACCTGGATTGCCAAGCATATGGAATGAGCTTATGTTAGGATCTCACATTGAGAGGAAAAATGGGTGGGCATGTGGTTTATATGGGCTTAGACACCTTCTCTTGGCAAGCCGGTTTTCCTAAGAGAGTTTTACCTAAGCTCACAAAAAGGATCACTGCCCGGCCCAATTCTTATCAAAGGCCCATTGCTCAACCCAATTCCCATCAATTTGGGAGTAGACTCCTATCAAATGGTATCAGAGCAGGCCTCACCTCTCGACCCTGTGCAGCAAGGCCTAGTGGGCCCCTCGAGGGGCCAAGAAAGAGAGTTCTTGACAGGTTTCTAGGGTTTGACAGC